TGACCCTGTGGCCATAAAATTCACAATTTTGGAATATGCACTCCTGTTTATCATAACTATGTACTTAGTTAGTTTATTTAATACCCAAGAGCAGAGAAGAAGATTTTTAAAGAAATAATGCATTTTCACAATATAATAATCTATATAACCCCGCCCTAGCAATAGAACCCCTGACCCAGGGGCCATGAATTTCATAATTTTGGTAGAGGACTCAATGCTCAATACATTCATGCCAACAGTTTGCCTGCTTGATGTCCCGGAGTAAAGAAGAAGATTTTTAAAGATTGCAATAATTTTAATGGTTTTGGCCCCACCCCCTAGGCCCCAGGGGGGCAGGGACCATGAAGTTCACAATTTATGTTCCCCTTTACCCATAGATGCTGTATACCAAATTTCGTTGAAATTGGTTCAGTGGTTTAAGAGAAGAAGCTGAAAATGTTCAAATGTTAACACACGACGGACGACGACGGACGAAAACGGATAGCAATAGGTCACCTGAGTAACTCAGGTGACCTAAAAAGTTGGGAGTTGTGATTGGTTTCGATCGACACCGCTCGACAAATCAGCAATTGTTTTTTGTAAATGACGATATCTGCGTTCGGGATATATTATGACTCTTTACTCTTGGGAATGAAAACGCACGTAAAAAAAACGATCTCATGTTATTCTATCGAGATATGGTGTTATCCAAAATCGTAAGATTTGAGCAAATTATGAATTAGAATCTATATTGAAGATGTAGATTTGCACATTAAATAACAAACGAAAATTCAATACCTTCTTATTATTCTGTCTTTAGAAACTTTCATGATTTAAATACGTTATTTATATCTGTTGATGACACAATTTGTGTGTACCTGTTCAAAATTCGAGATCACGTGACAAAAACACTGACTTGAACGAGCTTGTATTTCTATTACCTGGGGAAGTTTGTATATTTTTTTGACTAAATATGGCTTTAGAAGGTTTTCAGGACTTAACCCTTCATGTTTGATCTTACGAACTAATGTAGCCCTGTGCTGCCTCCGTAGGCCATGATTTGAACAATACTGAATCTTCACTACTTGAGGATGCTTTCATATAAATATGACTTTTTATGTTCTTTAAAAAGATATTTTTGTTAAAACTGGATTTCCTATCATGGCCCAACTCTTCCCTGTGTTTGATTTGAACAAACTCGAATTTATATTACCTGAGCATTCTCCCATATAAATATTATTAGTCATAATTGTGCTGTTATTGAGAAGTTTTCAAAATATATGTATCATCCGTTTGGAAAACTTCGCATTGGAAAACGTACTTAAACTGGATGTCATAATTGGAGGAAGGCATGGCCTGCTGTTTGAAAAATATTGAATTACTTTTTTTCAAAATGATACTCTGTGTTCAGTTAGGTTAAAGTTGGCCCAGTGGTTCTTGAGAAGAAGTTAAAAATGTGATTCAAATTATCTTAAAATGATTTTTCAATTCAACTTAGCTCAGTTGAGGTAAAAAAAAAGTACTTGTACTATATCTTTTACATTGATTGACTCTGTTTTTGAATTAAAGGGAAATCTGGAAGCGAAAATGGTTTCTCTCACCCTTTATTTCAGTTGAAAATTTTGATAAGGATCAACCAGCTAATACTCCTATGTCTATAATAAAGCAGTGAAGTCTCTAAAAATTTCAAAATTAGATACACGTAGAGTATCACTTAAGTGTATTGAATATTTCGTAAAATTAATATTGACAAATCCCCATCGGAAGCGATTTCAAATTTTGAGGTCTGGTATTTTTAAGGGGGGGGCAAACATTTTCTGTTTGGGGCACTATCCATCAAATGTTTTTTGAACAGCAATAAGACAATGAGGGGGTGTCTTGAAATGTAAATATTTATTTGGTACATGAAATATTTGGAGATAACGAACAGTTTTCATGCACGCTCAAAACTCCATTAAACAGTATATTATTGGAGCAGAGCATACGGACCTCCAAAACATCAGAGGTGGGATGAGGTGCCAGGGAGGAGCAAGCATCCCCTGCCGACAAGTCACAACCGCCTTGTGCTCCTTGTCCTCTTCGGGAAATAACGAAAAAATCCGTCGACAATTCAGTGTGCATATAATTGCCTAACAATTAGTATGAAAAACTTCAGTCAGCATTTGGCGTATATTTTTTTTGGCATATAAGATTTTGGATAAAATTCTGCTTCATATGAATACAAAAATAGGCCTGCTAATAAGGGGACGCAATCGATACCCATGGGAATTCCAATAGAGTTAGAACACCTGGTCTCCAAAAACCACATAGATATTGTTAATTAGAATCTAAAGCATATTTTCAATATGAATGTTACTTGTTTGTACAATAAGAATTTTTTCAACATAATAATTTTGCAAATCACCAATGAGAGAGTAAGTTAATTTTTACGAGTTCCATATTTATTGGAGAAAAAAAATATCTGTCAATAGTATTAATTAATCTGGGCTTTCATTTATCGTAGGGAATGGTTGCAAAAAATAGGTTTTTTTCTTTTATGTAGTAAACTATCAACCACATTATAATTCGAGAGCACCACTCCTATACTAGCATCCCCACCACCGATCCTCTTAAAATGAAATTAAAAGTTTCGTATGTCATTATTTGCTTGGTAGTAGGCAAAATAAAATCATAGCAATTTTCGCATTTTCAGCAATGATTACTGGTAACAGATTGAGACCGACTGCGTTTGATCTGACAACCAATTCAACAATTTAACTGAACATCTACTTTACTAAGTAATTTTATCTATCGCATAGTTGATTTAATTTATTGCAAAAAAGAACCCTATTTTTAACGCACTTAACAACTGTCGTTGCATGGAATATTCAACCCTCTTTTTCTTTACTTTGATGATTATTGATACTCTATTCAAAAACGATGTGAAAGGTACATAAAAGTCATATAGTTTATTGTCAAATGTACATGTATATTATTAAACAATGAAAAGTCTGTTGAATACAATATAATCATTTTATATAATTTTGAATCAATTTTTTAAAAGCAATTAATGAGAGACCTGTCCCAAATACTTCACCGGCAAAACAACCTTAAGTATTACACAATTACAAATCCGTCATTTCTGTCTTTGCATAATATGCAGATTTATTTTAAGAAATCTGCATAAGTAAAACCAGTGACTCATTGTCGACGACCTTGAACGTTTGTTAACATTTATTAGTACAAACATACTAATTATGATGGGTTTGGAATTTTATTTTTTTTTAAAGATAATTAATATATATAATTATTTATAAAACCATTTTTAGTTTCAGTTCTATTCTAGATAGTGTATATAAATAATAAATAATAAATGCATTATTTTAGCTTACCTGTTCTTAAATTTGTAGCTCTTGTATAGTGAAAACTCGAAAAGACAAAGCAAAGCAACAGATCCATGCATTGTAAAAACATTCCATTCATGGCCCCGCTTTCTTGTCGCCCGCGTGGCGCAGGGTAAGAGGGTTTTTGCTCAAAGAAGTTGATCCTTACGTCGCATTTTCGAATCCCGCTGCGGGACGTGTAGACCGGTCCTTTGGATGTGTCGCATTTAAGTGCTTCACTGCTCAGTGACACTTGAGTGCCGCCTGTGTATCAAATTAAGGATTTTTTAATTAATACATGTAAGCTTTCGGAAAAGCAAGTGAACATGAAATCTCACTCGTCCCTCAGTCTGTAAGTCAGTCAATTAAACCTTGATCGTAGCTTTTGAATAAGATAAAGATAGCGTGTTCATAAATCACAATCACTGTGACAAAATTTTTCTTTATGCAATAAGTTTTTACCTTTAAACTCTTTTTTTTTTTACTAAAATCAATTGTATATAAATGCACTTTATTATCTATGTTTTAGATTTGCTTCAAACATTGAGTTGAAAAAGTATGTGTTAGACGAATTGCATCTGGTTTTGGAATCGGTTAAATGAACGCATGCAATGGTAGACATGACACGGGGTGCAGAAAAACCCACTTAAAGGTATAACAGTGTTTCTAAATTATGAAACAAGACAAGGTCATATTACACGAAAAAAATCTCCAGATAAGCAATCCCATTGTCTTGACGAAACATGTTTTGCAGAACTAGAAACATATCTGAAAGTACCATTATCAATTTCAGTGATGCCATACAGACGATTTAGGGCAAATCCCCACCCCGTGGAGACGAATTAGTTCAAAAAGGTCATTCATCTCTATAGTTGTGTTGGACCACGATCCGTTCACATTGGAATCCTGATCCAAGTTGGCATAATTTCAGTTTACAGGTTTACCAACTAAACAGAAAAAGTGTTGTTTAGGTTTTTTTGAACATTCCCTTTTTATTCGCCAGACTAGATTTAATCTGCCTCAGATCTTAAAACAATATTTTCTATATTAGAAAAAACCGTAATTTTTTTTTAAGCTTTGATATTTAGACGGCCTTAAAATTATTTTTAACATCCAGAGGTGAAAAGGTACATTTTCCCTGGAAAATGGTATTCTTCTTACTTGGCTATTAGCATGCTACAAAAATAACATCCAGAAGTGAAAGATGGCAATTTTGCTCGACATTGTACCGTACGCAGAATGCTCTCTGTAAAATTTTGCCATTATTATAGTATGCCGTCACTGCTGCCTTCTGTTCGTGATTCGTAGCTTTTGCAAACCAATGAGATCAAATTTTTTAAATGTCTAGAATTTTCTTTGGTGTTTTGCGCTCTTAAGCTGGTTATGTAGAATCTCACAGAAAAAAGTTAAGGAAATTTTTCTTTGTTTGGGAACAGAAAATCAACTGGAATACATTATATGAAATTTATATCATGTTTTTATTCAATTTTATGCACAAATAATTATAATATACATAAATGTCAATATCATGCGCTAATGAATTTCATATATCCAACTTCTCATCAGGTTGGGAGGTGCTTAAATGCAGAGTGAGTACATTTAAACGCGAAACGTAAAATACCTCGCTAAAAACGAGTGTAGATTCTGGTGGCGGAGTAATTTTGCCAACGAGATACAGCGGGAGTTAAAAGCTCCAGTGATTGGTGAACCGCGGGGAATGCGCTGCAAGAGCGATTTTCTCCGAATCAAACGTCAGATTATGTATCTAAAAGTTAACATAATATTCACATAGAGATAAAGAACATTTTCAGATTGATACAACGGAAAAAATAAAATAATCGCGAACGTCTGGAAGAAAATGGACAAAAATTTAAATCAATGACGTATTTATTGTCCGGAGAGTATCCTTGAGTAAAATATGGAATATACCTTCAGGAAATAAAACAATCATATGTCGGAAAACCCTGAAGAAAGATTCTGCGTAACTTTAGATATTGACATACCTGATCAGCGTGACCGAAATGAAATTGAAAATGACGCGGGAAATCTGGCCTTATTACACCTAGAGGACAGAGAGTCCGCGATAGAAAATAATCCACAAGTGACCAACGATGACCAGGAAGAATGCCAGGCTACATTTTTCCTTGAGGATGAATTAAGTGACTCTGAAAATAAAAATGAAAGTAAAGATGGAGAGTGTGAGGGTCTGTTCATATCAGAAGATGGGTCGACAGAATGCCATGGCGATGGACAGGAAACAAATGGAAACGACGAAAACCCTTCTACTGACGACAATCTGGAATTTCCGCAGTTTCAGGTCGTGTATTCAGACGACGAAAAGTTTCCTGATGATGATGAATTGCCCGATTCTCTTGCTCCGTTTCAGGACAGAGGACGACGCGAATCCAAATGGAGCGCGACAATTTTGTTTGTGGCGTCAGAAGTTCAATTGATTATAGACCTTGCCGAGTTTTGTCCTCCTGAGGGATATCTCAAGGAGCCATCAAAGGTTAGAATATTTTTTCAGTAATTACTAGCATTTACGAATTTCGATCGTATCTTAAAAAACGTCTATATTTTTGGCGAATTATTTTTCTCTTTGGCGTTTTTTTCCCTTGCAATGGACCTCTCCTTCTTTGATTTGTTTTTATATACATTGATTGTGACTGATTTCTGATCACTTGTTTTTGTAAAAGCTGAAACCTTACTAATTGTACAAAATACTCCCACTCCAACAAATCCACAGGTTTTCTCACTATGACGTCGCATTTTAATCTCGTTATAGCCGATAAACATTCAATATGCAAATTTTTACGAGTTGAAAAAAGAATTATGAATGGATTTCCCGTAAAGTTTGAAATGAAATTTTTACATGATTTCACATTTGGTGTTTTATCTGGTGGTTAGTTATCAAAAGCAATTTTGTAATATCCGAAATATTTTACTAAAGAGCAAATTTATATAGCTTTAATCTTATTATAGAAAAAGAGTCAAAGTACGAATTTCCCCCTTCAATCAACTTATAAATGTGTTTTTAAAAAGAATTTCAAATAATTATTTGTGTTAGACCTTTACTTATAGAAAAAAATTCGAGTTTTATTGAATTTAATAATATTGAAAATAAGAATACTGTACACTTGAGAAGGACGTTGGAAAAGAAAAGAAAAGATCTTTATATAGACTTTACTAGCTTATTTATTTTCTCAAAAATGAACTGTATCAATTTGCCAAAATGCTGCATCAATCATAGATAATCATGTAGCGCCTGCCTTATACCACAATAAGATATAATGAATAAAAAAATTAACGTTCCCAAAAGATTGCTTTACAAGCAACCTCTTTCATACCATCAGAAATTTAACAAAGTTACCGATAAATGATGCAGTTGAAGTTTAGATCTAAAATAAGACCTATTTACCTCAAAATTTCTAAAATCTACAATTTACAGCGGGAAGCAAATTAAGGCTTCACTTTTAATGCTATATTTCCTCGTTTGTAATTGGTTTTCATGCCAGTGTAAGCGAAAGCGGGATTAAGTCTCTGTTGTTTTTTTTTTTACTGTAGTGCAATAATCACAAAATTCACCCCCCCCCCCCCCCCGATTTGTCATAAATTTACAGAGCTGTATTCAGTTCAACATGTAGATTTTGGAATAAGTTGGTGCAGAGGTTTGAGAGAGGTACCTGTCTCCAGATCAAGAATATTGTTCTAGATGGATATACACATGTATGCAATTTTGTTTTGTGGGTTATGCTGTATTCTTGAAGAATTTATTTACCTTCATATTTTTCTGCATAACTTTAAACAGATTAACTAATTGCTTTGCAAAGTCGACGTTTTTAACTCTTCGTCAAAATGGGTTTTGATCGCAAATTACACATCCCTATAATGCGAAAGCCTTGATTTAGGTATTGATATTGCTTAGAAATTTCACTTCATTTTAACATTATACATTCATGCAAATAGGAATGCAGCAGCGAGCTTTGTCTGTGTGTTTGTTAGTTTTCCTTCCTTCTATTATTTGTGATGAAATTGTGCAACAGTTTTATATCTTAAAATAACTTTTTTTGTTCAGTACTGTCATATCGTGGCCCAATTTTTAAGCCATAAATGTTTTTGAAAAAAAATAAGGTTGGACAATTATTGCAAAATCTGTACTATTTCCTACTTTGTATGTTTATCAGTTTATTTTTGTGTTTGAAAAGCAAGATTCTATATCGAATCCTCTCAAGATCTCTAAAGGATAAAACATTCCAAAATGTTTTGTAACATATAGGGACTTCTATTTGTCACCTATCAATTCGAGATTGAAATAGCAATAAATAGATTTGGTGAAGTTTGTATGCTCTATATTCTATAATAAATTCAACTGAAAAACCCAAATTGAAATCTGTTAATTTATAGTTATTGCAGTTAAATTAATTCACAATTTACATAATGGGCCAAAAGGGAACACATCTTGAATCAATTTCTCATACTTTTTGAATGAAAACAGAAAGAATACAATGCAACAAAAAGAAAGTAACAGTTAACCAACCAAACCACAAAGAATATTTCAAAACTCATATTTTTAATGAGTTCAATTTTACATAAATGTAACCTAATTATCTCGAACCTGATGGGGGAAAAGCCTATCCAATATTTCCGGATATCGAGATTAAAATTCAACAAGAAAAGGAGGTTGCAATTTTAACTGACTTCGATACATCCATGATATTCGATATATCGAAGGAAAGATAACCACACAAAAAGAAAAAAAAAACTGAATGTCTCGAGTGTAAAAAGTCTATTTTGATGGATGACCGTTTGGGCTAATATTTACATTAAGTAATACTAAGTAAGTATAAGGCTGACGCTATTCCGTTTCTGCTGTATACTTAGTTTACTTTTAATCTGCAACCGGAAATGACGGCGTTTAACATAATGGTGGTACTCGGACGGGAAAAGAGATGAATTTAACCATTGCATTGTACGTCCAAGGTTCTTCTGAATTGCATAATATTGATAAATGCGTCTTCGATTCTGTGTACAATCAGAGAACGTCTGCAAGTCGTAATCTGTAAACAGACTTGAAGAAACAGCGCTCTCGATAATGAGAAATGTATTCTTCTGGAAATTTCTAGGTCTATATCAAACATTTGGATAAAATGATGAGTAATTACACGTATATCTCTTTTTCTATCTGTTATCAAACAATATAAATTGATGCACCTGCAATCGCTTTCACACCTAATCACGTTTCAAATCAATCGTGTATATTTTTTACTTGAACATTTTTTGACTAAATTGAAATGTTCTTTTCATTTGTGTAGAAATGATGATTTGCTTTATTTCTTTTCTACTCATATACAGCTTAATATATTAAATATTAATGGTTTTCCATTTTGCATATATGCTGTCATATCTGCACACAGAAGACAAACAAGACGATGATACAATTTCAAGACAATTTTGAAACTGTATCGCCCCCATTCCATGTCAGCAAAGTATAAACTTAAAATCATAATTTCCTTAGTTACGGTCCTAGCATTTGTTGAGATTTGGTAGGAATAATCATTGTTTTCGAAGTTAAAAGTCCTATGTAACAGTTATTGTTAAAAAGTACAGTGAAAATGGCGTTATATGGTACATGTATCAAATGTGCACAATGAAAAACAATTGAACACATGTTGAAAATCACAACGTTACACATATTTAAACTTCATAAAAAATAAGGAAAGAGAATCGTCATATAGGAATTCTAACATGACGGTTTTAGTGAAAAAAATCTTTTCGAGTCCTACAGTAGTAAAAATAAAATCAATAAGTAAAACCCACTGATGATGTACATGTAATGTAGGATTTGTTATAACTTTGCATCAGTAAATAAATCTTATCATGAATAAGACATCGATGTTGAACGCTAATGATACAAAATCCAATAATGATACAATTTACGTCACTAACAGAAAGCATTTTCATCAACTAAGGAAACAAATTTTTGGCCAATTTAAGTTCACCCGTATATCATTTCTGAATGCTAGTTTACATTTATCAGACCTATAGTTATCTTGAATCCAGTGGGGAAAATGAGAGATATCTGATAATTCCATGTAAAATTCATAAAGAAAGTGGTTTCAGGAACCGCTGTCTAGTTAGTAAAGTATGCCAGGGCATCACCGATAGTTGGAAATGTGGGATAATTTGTATAATGGTCGAAGCCCGTTATGCATAAATCGTTGATGTCCCTGGCATACTCTACTTACTATAGAAAGTGATTCCTTGTATTTCCATTTCATCGTGAAATAAATTGTAAATTTAGATTTTAAAAATGTAGACTAATAGCTTTAGATCACACGAGGCCTCCCATGTCAATTTCAATAGTCCCCGCCCAATGACGTCAAAAAAACAAAGACAGCCGCATGAGATTTACTTAGGGAATCACTGTCTAGTTAGTGTAGTATGCCAGGGCATCAACGATAGTGGGAAACATGGGATAATTTGCATAACGGGCGAAGCCCGTTATGTATAATTTATCCCATGTTTCCCACTATCGTTGATGTCCCTGGCATACTATATACTAACTAGACAGTGATTCCTTGTATTTCCATTTCATTGTGAAATAAAATTGTAGATTTAGACTTTGAAATTGTAGACTAATAGATTTAAATTACACGAGGACTACCATGCCAATTTCAGTAGTCCTCGCCCATTGACATCAAACGCAAATGCAACCGCACCCTAACTTTCAAAGAGTTATCACACATAAAAAATTAGAAATGGAAATATGTGCATATTAGTCCTCCTTAGCGTTCAGGCACAGAGACAAACGCACGAGATTTACATGCATACTATATACAGGGGTTATTTTTCACCCTTTTAGAATTGAAAACAATTTTGCCCCGTTTTAGATTCGCCCAGTCATAGTTTTGTTTAAGAAATTATACTGTATTCTTTGAATTCGCCCAAAGGTGGATAGGGCGAAAGGGGCGAAAATAAAACGGGGGCGAAATTTTCCCTGTATACAGTATTAGGCCTCCTTAACTCCTGACCAATCCCTTGGCAAAATTTACATTCCAATAGCTATAGAATATGATGGCATATTTATGCCATCCACATAACTTTTTGTTAACGTCTTCAATCCCTAATAGGAACAAATTCAATGAAATTAAAAACATAACAGATATGTAGGCATTGAATACTCAGTTTATTTAGACATACTTCCCATTTATTACTATAAGTATGTTTAGTGGGATGTGTCCTAATTCATGACCTTGACTTTTGGTAAGAGTTATCTCCCCTTTTTTAATTAATAAAAAAAAATCAATTAAAAAAATTTTAGCCGGTAAAAAAATTGTTTTCAATTATCATTCTATTTTTAAAGTTTCAATGCATCTTTCCATCGCAGGATTTATTGATATTCAAATTATTTGAATTTTTATTTTGAAAAAAACGCTTTTCCCCATAGACTTCAATGCAATCTTTGTTAATTACATACCGCTTAATTAATGAAAATTTTGAAAATTTCTC